TTTGCTGATGCCGTAAAGCCACATGGGAAGGTTGTGGGTTTGCATCCCAGGGCTACCCTACCTAAGCATGCCCTCTCTCCTGGGGGAGAGTCCCAGCAAGAAGACTCTGTTGAGGGTGCTTCTCTCTCTCTCTCTGTCTTAGAACAATAAACGAATAAACCCTTTTTAAAAAAATTAAAAGATGAAAGTAAAAAGCATTGTCATCCCAGAGGGCCTGCATGCATGTCCCAGGCCATGCTTTCTGAAGAGCGATGTCAGAGACGTAGCACCATGGAAAGGGGATGGCGTCACTAAGTAATCTTACCAAATCAATAAGCAAATAAGCTGGAAAACAGCAAGACAACCTCTGGAAAGGGAAGTGTTAACATCCGGAGTTGCTCATACGTTACCTAAAATGTCCAGTTTTCAACCAAACACTCAGACATGCCAAGACGCAGAAAAAGAAGACACAGGGGAAGAGGGATCAGGCAGCAGGGACCACCTGTGGGAGGGCAGGAGGTGGGCCTAAGGAGCATCAAAGTGAGCACACGTCAGTTCAAGGGACTAAAGGAAACCATTCTTAAAAGAAGTTAATGCAAGTGTCATGGCGATATCTAACCAAATGTGGCATATTAATAAAGCTACGGATATTGTATAAAAGAGAAATGGGAGTTCTGGAGTTAGAAATTGTAATGACTGTAATGGGAAAAATTACTAGAGACACTTCACAGTAGCAAATCCACAGAGAGAGAAAAATGTATGTACCTTGGGCTGGGGATAGAGGGGAGTGGGGAGTGACTGCTGATGGGCACGGGTCCCTTTTAAAGTGATGAAAATGCCCCATAGTTGATATTGGTGACTGTTGTAAAACTCCGTAAACATACTAAAAATCTTAGAATTGTACTTTTTAAGTAGGTGACTCTTATGTGCAAATTATATCTCAATAAATCTGTTATGAAAAGAACAAAATAATACCTAATATATTGAGTTATTAGAAGAATTAAATTTGATGTTATTCATGAGAATCCACACACAATAAGTAATAGTTGTCTTCCTTTTTGTAAATTAAAAAATTTTTATCATTTCTTATTCTCATTTATTATACATCTTTTTACCATAAATATGGTTTTTCACAGTAGGTATGCTGTACATGAAAATCAAATTAAGGTTATTACCATGTTCATTGGAAAAATTCATATTTTTATATCAATATTAAGTATTTCTACCTGAGCCCCTCCCACCCACCCTCTGCTACCCCCCATTCGCCGGTGTCTACACTTGTCCTCCTTACCATTGTATCTTCAGATCTTTCCATTTCTGCCGTAGAGTGCAGATGTTTGGTGTATAATGGGCAGGGGCATACAGTGTTTGTCTTTCACAGTCTGGCTTACTTGGCTTACTGGTAAATCTCTAGTGACTTCCTTTATCTCTTTTAGTGTCTCCTGGAAAGAGCTGGTGAGAAAGCCTCCAGTCTTTCAGATCTCAGGGTAGTGCTGCCATGTGCGTGTCATCGTGCAGATACTCTGTAGTAAACCTTTGCCTTATGCTTTCCTTTTTCCAGGGCCGAGGAGCTTTTGTCCAAGGAGAGAAGGGTGAGAAGGTAAGCATCTCCTTTTATCGCACCTCTCCAAGGGAGCAAGACAGGAGAGGGGAGCTGTAGGCTGGAGAGAGCCATGTGCTGCCATTGTGCTGGCAAGGAGTGGTGGGGAGAAGAGGGCTCCTAGTCTGAGTGCTCAGCCCCTGTGTGTTCTCCCTGACTCTAGCGTGAAGCATGTGTAGTGTCAGCAGAAAAGAAGAAGGTGGCTGGGAGAATTGCATTAGACCCATGTATCTTGGGGAACTCAGGGAATTGTGTGTTGAAGAAGTTGACGTTTGAGCAGGCCATGACAAAGAGGGAAGGCAGTCTTGTAGGTGATGCCCCAGAGTCCAGGGGTCAGAAATGGAGAAGGGAAAAAAGAGAGCAAATGGATTTTTTTTTGAAGAACCTGGAAGACAACTGGTGCTAAATACATACTGGGGAAATAGACCAATGCATAAATAGATTGTGCACCTCCATACACTGAGGCCTAAGGGCCAGGCCTTTCTGGAGGAAGGATCACAGACCCTGGAGTCCAGCTGATCAAGTTTCTAACTCTGCCTTCCTCATGTTAACCACGTGTCTGTCCTTAGGCTACTCTGAACTCAGTCTTCTTTTCTTGAAAGAGATAATATAGTAGTTCTTGCCATTTGGGATTGCTGTGAGGATTAAGGGAGAAAATCCATGTCAAGGTTTTGATAGTGGCTGTCACAGCCAGTCCTCATAACTTTTAGTACTATCATGGTGACAGTGATGGTGACAACGTATAGCCACTCTCTGGGCTGTTACAGAGCAATTGGGAGTAGAGTTATGTACAGTGAGGCAGTGAGGATGCTGGCCAGTGGTTTCCTCTGGGTGAGCTGCTGTCGGTCTGTGTTCATGGTGGTGCATCTACAGGACTTTGCAAACAGTTAGAGACTCCGTGGAAACAAGGGCAGCGCCTGTGTTCCCACGGGAATTCCTTGGATTACATCCTAAGAGTCCTTCCCACCTGGGTAGACTGGAGCCTTTCCGGGAGGAACCCTGAGGAACCACCGTGTCATCACTTCTTCCTGAAAGCACAGCATCCTCTAGTGGCCTGAAACTGGAGGTCTGTCAGCTGTGCAGGTCTGTTGTTTCTGGATTATCCTCTTTTCCGTAGGACCCAGGCCTCTGGGAGGAAGGAGGGCAGGGCACACGTGGGAAGGAAGCAGGATGGGAGGTTGGCAGGCTTGGAACGGGGTCCCAGCTCTGCCAGTATCTGCATGGTCTCTGGTTAGTGTGTAAGTGTCCTCATCTGTAACATGGGGCTCTTAAATCATAACAATCAAAAGCCATTTCTTAGGCATTTTTATGGAAGTCCGTATGGCAGTAAGTAGAACTTCCTACGGAGTGTGTGTGCTCAGATTTCTCAGTGCGGTGCTCCAGGAAAAACCAGCAAACAAATACCAGAAACTCAGCTCGGTTTTACTGGGCTCAAAACATCGGTTCGTCATCTCGTGTGATTTTCTTCCATTTTTGCCAGCACCGTAAATCTGCCAGGGCATGAACGTGGTGAGAAAGTGGTCTCTGAGCTGGATGGATAGTAGAGGCTGCTCCCGCCTCCTGGGACGCCCCCTTCTTAGGACGTGAACTGCACATCCTGAAGAAGACAACAGGGCCGTGTGACTCCCATCTGCATGTCTGAAATCGTGGGGTGGGGGTCTTGTGGAGCAGTTCAGTGTGAAGTGAAATAAAAAAGGCGCTGATTACAGAACCGAGGAAAGAGAAGCTGGGACCATCAGGGTGAAGTTAGGGAAGACTGAAAGAAAGCCTGGCTCGTGGCAGTCAGCTGAAGCAGCTTGGGCCCTGGGTCTCAGAGAAGCAGGACCTGCACAGGTTCATTGCATGCCAGGTACCAGACCCCCACACACCCGCTGCTCCATTGTCCTCTGATGACTTGTAGTTGGATGGAGTAACTTCTTTCCGTGCTGTGCACCGTGAACTGCCAGCCTCTCAGGTCAGGGTGCCAGGACTGCCTCAGACCCAACTGCCTCCCTTGGACTTACTCCCACTGTCCTGTTCGGAACGCGAGTGCTCACGGGTGCACGTGCTGCCGTGACGTGCCGGTGCTGAGCTGCTGCTCTGAGTTACGTAGTGGCAGGCGAGGCCCAGTGTGTTTGGTGCATGTCCCGGCTGATGTGGTCTGAGACCACCTGCTGGTTCTGGTTTATCTGCCTGTGGACACTCAGGACATTTCTCCATGCCTGTCTGTGCGTCTTCCCCCCCGCACCGGTTTATCTGCCTGTGGACACTCAGGTCATTTCTCCCTGCCTGTCTGTGCGTCTTCCCCCCCGCAGAACCTCGGCCCCCTGTGTGTGCTGACATCCTAAGGATGCTTCAGCTCCAGTGACCTCCCAGTTCAGGCCCTGAGCCGGGAGCAGTGCCCTGCTCGTTCTCCCCCAGCTGCAGGGAGAAGGTGTAGCTAGCCCATCAGCTCAGGACAAAGTAGCTTAAAGCTCCATAGCTAGCCCATCTCATGGAAGACGACGCTGAGACTCGGAAGGGCACTCACTGATGCCATCAGCTCAGGACAAAGTAGCTTAAAGCTCTGGCTTCTCCTAGATCCCGAGTTCACACTGGGGCCACGTGCCGTGAGGAGGGGCTAGGTGGGGCAGCAATGGGGACATGGTTTCTGGAGCTTGACGGAGTCAGCATCCTGCCCCTGAGAGTAAAGGAGAGGGTGTAGGCAGAGTGAAGAATGGTCAGAAAATGTCATTCTGTCCACCACATGGCAGGTCGGGCGATTCCAGCAGTGAGAGCTTCTGGTTGGTGGGGACCCTCCAGCACCCACAGTGATGCTTCCCTGATCCCACTACGGCAGCCACTGTGTGTGTTCACGTCTTCTCACCTGAGCAAAGGTCTGTCTTGGCCATCTTTCAAAGGCAGGCTTTACTTGAAATTGTGAGATGAGAAGACATCTGGGAGCAGAGGTGAGGGGGTTGTGAAGACAGAGCTCTGCCTAGACTTTCTTCTCCTTGCCTCCCTCCCAGAGCAGAGTCCAGGAAAGGCCTCCACAAACCATAAGATATGTCTACATCTTAGGAGCGTGATGGTCTGAATGTCAGTGTTTCTGTCCCCCACAAGTGTATGTTGGAATGCTACCCCCAACGTGATAGCGTGAAGAGGTCAGGCTTTGGGAGGGAACTAGGTTATGAGGGTGGAGCCCTCCTGATGGGATTAGTGCCCTATGACAGAGGCTCCAGAGAGCATCTTTGTCCTTCCACTGTGTGAGGTCAATGTGAAGACAGCCATTTGTGAGCCAGAAGGTAGGCCTGCAAGCTCCATGTGGTGAACTTGCTGGCACCTCAGTCCTGGATTCCCCAGTCTCTAGAACTGTGAGAATCACGTGTTAGCTGTTTACAGCTGCCCAGTTTATAGTATTTTGTCACAGCAGACTGAGAGGAGGGGTTTCTGGTACAAGCAAAATACATGGCGTCGCAGGAGATAACGACACACTACGTTTTCTGATTCTCCCTGAAAGCACAGGATGGGTGTCAGCAATGCAGCTGTGCAAATTCACAGGCCTGCGCTGGTGCTCCTGCCTGGCATGGCACGCTGACGTCATCTGAGCTGAAGGTACATGCAGTGGGACGAATCACGATACAAGCCTTTTATTGACCTCCTAGTGCATTCCAGGCTGTTCAGTTTTTGAGCTAGCAAGTTGGCAGGGGTGAAGTGTCTTTCTGCTCCAAGACAAAAAAAACACACGAGTGGGATGCCCCTCCCTTGACCCTGCATTGATCAATGCCAACTCCCCCGTCCGCACTGAAAGCAATGCTTGTATCTGGGAACTTGTGATCCTCAAAAACCATATCCTTTATAGGAATCAACTTATTATATAGAAAGACTGTATTGAAGAGCCTCTGAGCCATAACATATAAATTATACGTTTGTGTTCATCTGTGTGCACCTTCTAAGATGTATTCATGCCATCTTCTTTGTTCATGGCTGGCTTCATCAGCACCCCCATCTCCTATTCTTAGCCCGTGCATCAATGCACATTATTCATGGTTATCGGGTTGGATAGTGGTGGTTGAGTGCCTTCTATTTTTACAATAATTAAAGGGTTTAGGGGAAAATAAGTTTAGCTGCTTATGTGCCCTCAAATAACCTCGTAAGTTGGGACAAAATGCTGAGAGTTAGAATAAATAAAGCTGCTACTGGCCCTGTCCACGGTGCTGAAGAAGGTGTTGGATAAGTTTTGTGTTCACAGGATCTCACAGCCCTAGACATGGCTGGAATAGGAGAGTCTGCACTTTTTATTCCAGCTCCGTCTGACGCTCAGGTGCTTGCCAAGTTACGAGACCAAGGGCTTCATACAAGAGAGGGAATGTGTTTACAGGAAGGATAAGTGCTGGACTACCAGAGCGGAAGGGCAAAAGAGGCTGAGGGTGTGGACCCCAGACTGGCTGGCTGACTTCAGATCTTACTCAGCCACTTAGCAGCTGTGTGGCAGTGGGTCAGTTTCTTAACCCTGGCAACCCTTGCTTTATTCACCTATAAATTAACAGCTATAATTGCACTTGCTGCAGAGGGTTGCTGCAAGGATTAAATGAGCTAATGGAAATAAATGACTTATATTTGTAAAAAGTGCTCATACACATTAAGTTACCATTACACTAGTATAACTTCCATTTTTTATACACCAAATGACGTCTTAGGCATTTTGAGTATTAATGAGGTCTTATTCCCCAGAGGCAGCTGGCAGCTGCAAATGCCAAAGCCCTTCTGCCTACTGCCTCCCCCACCCCCATCTCCAGAAAGACAGGAAGACTACTGTAACTCCAAAGCTTAGGAAGCCTTGAGAGTGTTATTAGAAATCATGTTCTGGGTAAGCCAGGATAGAGACCTTGTCCTGTCTCAATTCACTCACTCACAGAACATCTAAGAGTAGTGTTCATACTTGTGAGCACTTACTGCCCATGGAGATGTATGCATGTGCTATGTAGTTTAACTTTGGGGGCGGATATCACCCGCTAACAACTGCGGGACCAAGCACAGGT